ACAAGGGACTTGGAGGAGCTTTTGAACTTGGGAGGGTCCTGCAGGGTCTGTCTCAGTTTCATAACTTACTGTGCAGTAGATTAAAAAAGAAATCTTGGCCTTTAAGGAAAGTATGATTTTGAAAAGTGGACAAGGTGAATATGTAAAACAGGGAGTGTAAAGTAATCAACATAAGGAAAGTCTCAAAAGCATGGAAGTGCTTGATGTTTGCCAATGAGCGATGAAGCGTGAGAGAGGGGATAAGACTCCCCTTCCATTTTTGGTGAATCCTGTATTGCATGAATTTGGGCTGTGAGAGGGCCCCGCCTCCAATAGGGAATCTGCAGGGAGGCAAACATTCCCTCTGCCTGCCTTTTGACCACTGAGGCATGGGCCTGTGACCTTGGATAGTTCCATCTGCGAACCTGAGTAGGGAGGTAGTGATGCTAAGTTGCTGAGACCCTGGAATAGTGGCCACAGCAAGTGGCCAGAGCAGTGGGGCGTTGGTGACAGAGTGTGCCATGGTCTGGTCTCTGTTACATGCTGCCAGCCTTACATAGATCCTGACCCTTTTCTGAACCAATTCTCCATCTATATGTTGACACAGTGGGCCACTTGACAACCCTCCTATATTTTTTTTCTGGATAATTTTCTGGATAATTAATTTTCTGGATAAATTAACTGGAGAGAGTTCCTTTTGTTCGCAACCAAGAAGTGTCTTAAACAGTAGAAAATGTCTTTTTTTTTTTTGATTTGTCATTAGTGTCACCTAAATTTTGTTCAATGAATATCAATTACTTTTGTAATAAAACATTTTTATTTAATGTAAAATCAAATATAAATGTGAAATATAAAAATTCTTGAAAGTAAAAAACTTAATTAGAATGTAATAAGAGCCACATAATGATAATAGGATAAAATGGATAAATATTATTCATAATGGTAATAATTTTAAGGTAATATATATTGAATGCTTCCCTCTGAGCCAGGTGCAATATTATGAGCTTTATCTGCATTATCTGAGTGTAATGATAACATTAAGTTGTGCATACTATGATTATTAACCTTTTCAGTTAAGAAACTGAGGTTGGGGGAGGGTAAGTCAAACCACCTGTGGCACTGTAGTGTAGCCAGGATGTAAACCTGGGTACCCGGAACACAGCACCTATTCTTCTTAACCTATGGCATCATGGATAAGCTAGTCAATTTTTCATAGGAGAGTTGACTAAGCTTTTGTACTGGAGGTAATAAGAAAGATTTTGCCAGGTAAGGGATACATAATAGGGTCTGTTTAGCCTGAGAAGGGAGTGTGCAAGGGCAAAGACAAGAAAGGCCATTACCTGTTCCAGGAATGCCTCAAGGAGCACTGATGATCAGTGTAGGGGGTGGAGTGGACGGTGGGGTTTGGAGGTGGGGAGGGGGTGGCTGAAAGGGAGGTTGGTAAGAGGAGTCCCAGTAAAGGTTTGAAATGGAATGGCGAGTGACCCTGTGAGTCCTCAGGTGTAGTAGTTTTGATCTTTAAGCAACTGAAAGTCATCAGCAGTCTTAAAGAAAGGGGTGACGTCATCAGCATCTTTTTTGGAAGCCTCTGACAGCAGCACAGAGGAGGTACTTGGGCTGGGAGTGATGACTGTCACCAAGGTCAGTTAGCAGGATACTGAAACAGCGCATGACAAGTCGGTGAGAACAGTGGGAGTGAGACAGAGAGGAGGACCCAGATTCAAGGAAAGGCTCTAAGGTGGAAGCAACAGGGTTTGATGACTAATTTGTTGCGGGTGGTTGAGGAGGAAGAATTAAAGATGACTGAGCTTTCTAGTTTGGAAACCTGAGTAATTGGTGATGTTATTAACTGAAATAGGAATGGAAGGAAGGAAGTCTCTAGGAGGCCTATGAGTAGATTTACATGTGTTATTTCATTTAACCCTAGACAAACTGATGATGAAAAGACTAGGATGCTCATTTGCTAGATAGGGAAATCAAGATTCAGTGAGATTGAATAACTTGCCAAGGTCACATAAATGGCAAATAAAAAAGCTGGGATGTGAAATAAAATTTTACTCCAAAGTCATATCTTTCCATGATGGTATTTTACACTCTGATGATAATTTTTAGTTTGGAAAAATAGGACTAAAGCTCAGGGGAAAGCTAGATAGAGCTAGAAACACGGTTTGTCTTAGAGTTAGAATGATGAAGAATGAAGAGAGAGTAAACTCTCACACTACTGGGATAAAGAACTAGAGGGGTACTGCCCAATAACATTTTCTGCAGTGATGGAAATATTTCATGCACTGTCCAATCCTGTAGCCATTAGCCCACACTGCTATTGAGTATTGGAAATGGGGCTAATATGACTGAGGAACTGAAATTTTAATTCTAATTTTAATTAGTATAAATTAAAAAACCATATGTGGCTAGTAATGACCCTATTGTATAATTTAGGACTAGAGGACCCAGCTAGACATGAAGGCAGTTCATCAGAGGAGAGGCCCTGTTGGTAATGCCGCCAAAGCACTAGGTATTAGATCATCTGCTTTCTGTCTGTGAGGAAGATTGGTCCTGGGCTTCCCAGGTAGCACCAGTGGTAAAGAACCCACCTGCCAACGAAGGAGAAGAAAAGAGATTGGCATTTGATCCCTGGGTTGGGAAGATCCCCTGGAGGGCAGGCATGGCTGCCCACTCCAGTATTCTTGCCCGGGGAACCCCATGGACAGAGAAACCCAGCCAGCTCCAGTCCGGGGTTGCAAAGAGGCAGACATGCCCAGGAGACTAAGCACCGCCCCGCACACAGCACGCAAGCATGCAAGCCTGGTCCTGAGACGGGGCTGTCATCCATCAATGAAGAAAGGGTTCCTTCCCAGTGCAGACAACTTAATTTACCAACTCATCTTCGAAAAGAGAGTAAGTCTAACACTCCACCTCTTCTTGTGGTTCCCTGTTTCTGCTGTACCTCACAGCCTGTGGCTGTCTTTTTTTTTTTTTTTTAACAATCTCCTTGAATATATTCAACTATCAAGGCAAACATTTTCCTACAGGAAACAGAATTTTCCCACCACTCCAAAGAAGTCCAATAAATAACTTTACAGTGAAGGGCCCGGGGGGAACACACAAGGGGGCCCACAGGTTCCCAAGCAGCTGTGGCTGTCTTAATACCCCGACCAGGGATTGAACCCAGGCCTTTGGCAGTGAAAGTGCAGCGTCCTAACCAACGACTGAACTGGACTGCCAAGGAATTTCTCTTCTCCTGTATGGACAAAAATCACAATCATTTTCTCTGTATTTACATTTTTCTGTATAGAGTGTTACTTAAGCTCAAGCTCTAGGCCAACACCTGGGTTCAAATTGAAATTCTGCCATTGAATTGGTTTGTTGTGTCTAGAATTAGTTACTTCACATTCTCAAACTTCACTTTAACACAAGGATAATAAGTACCTAACTCAGGGGGTAATTGTGAAGATTAAGTTACATAACCTATGTAAAACTTTTAGGCAGTATGGGGCCCTGGCTTAGCACCCAGTTAAGGCTGGCTCTTCTGTAACTAGTACCTTATTGTGATGAGTTTGTACTTTGCACCTCTGTATTTTGACATTTACTTGACTCTATTTTTGCATAAGTGAAGGTGTTCTCCCAGATCTCTAAATGTCAGAACATTTCAAAAAAGAAGTACACATTCATCAAGATAAAAAGGTAGGTATGATTCTGAAAAATTCTTATTGTAGTAGTATGAATTTTGCAACTATTTTTGTATTTCACTTTGATTTGTTTTGATAAAATATTTTAAATCAGTATAGTGGAAAATATTAACTCTGCTATTTTGTTGTGATCGTTAAAATTCCCTTTGCCTGGGACTTCCCTGCTGGCCCAGTGGTTAAAACTCTGAGTTCCCAAGGCAGGGGGCTCAGGTTCGATCCCTGGTCAGGGAACTAGATCCCACATGCTGCAACTAAGACCTGGTGCAGCCAAATAAATGAATAAATATTAAAAAAAAAATTCCTTTTGCTTAACCTCAACTGTTCATACACCACATGATCAAGTGAAGCTACTAGAAGCTGTAAATGTTGACTCAAAAGATTTCTTGATGTTTGGAAGTTCTGAAGAATTTCATGCCACTGTAATTGAAGCATTTAATGCCTAGTTTCTGGTTATCTTAAAAGTAGTTGGATAGAGTGTACAGTGGTTGGATACATCAAGGACTATTTAAAGACCAATGACTTCAGAAACAGGAATAAGTAATAGGATCTCTTTTGTTGCCACCGATTTTGTACTTTGTAACCTTTGGATTAAAAAAACATTGTGATGTCTTGCATTTCGTGTATTATTTGTGCAAAAAATTTTATTTTTTCATTAGATTGGGATGTCAAGAAATCTGTGTTCAAGTAGTAGTTCTGCTGAGTAGTCTGTTAAGTAAGGAAAAATCATTTACCTCTTTGGACCACAGAGAGGTCCTCTGTAACATCTAAAAATTGATCCTGACTTGATTCTAGAATGATCTAAGTATCCTTCCAACTAAAATTCCTTGTATCTGCCTTTTCTTCCCCCTTAAAGTCTTAAATGACTTTTTTTTTTTTTTTTACTTCCATGCTTTTATAAACACGCTTTTGGAATACTTCATTTCCTTGAAAAACAATTCACTGGCGAGTCAGCATGAAAAAAAAAATCCACTCACAATAGATACCAAAATTGCACGAGGTGATGAAACAAAAAATGATTTTCTTTGTAAACTGAAATGATGATGCATAGAGAAACCAATTATTTATAAAATGCATGGTGGAAGGTTTTATGTAGCAGAGCTAACGTGCTGTTACATATTAAGTAAGATGGGGGTGGCAGGGGGTGGCGGTCAGGGACTTCTCTATTGCCTTAAAACGGCTATTACTGCAAACGTTCCTTTCCATGAGGGAGAAAGAAAATGTGTCGAGAGGCGAAAGAAAGAAGCAACCAAGCAAGGTTAAAAGCTCCCCTCCACTCTTCCACCCCGCCTATCCTCTCTGGATATACACAATTAAGGGAATTTCCTCCTGCAGCTACGGAGCGTTCGGTGGCCGTTTCCTCGTCACTATTAGGGCAGCCAGAGATTCTGCTTTTTCTGGCGGTGATTTCCCAACTTCTGCTGGTCCCCTGCGGGTCGCCGAATGTCGCCCTCTACCCCGGGCGAAGCCAAGTGGCCAGGAGGCTCGGAAGCCGGGCCCGGGACACAGCGGCCGGGGGAGGGCGCAGGAGCGTTTCCTGCGCGAGCGCGGCCACTGGGCCCGTTTCCGGAAGGCTGATTGCATCAGGTGTGGAGCGGGGCGCCTCCTCGGCCCAACCTGGCGGCCACTGCGCCTGCGCGCCTCGCCTCGCCCCGCCCCGCCGCCGAGGGTTCCACCGCGGGTTTTCCTCTCGGTCCGGAGGAGATCGATCCGGGAGGGGTGGACCGAGATTAACGCTCTGGGACCCCGGAGAGAGGGGATGGCAGGGATGGACATCCGGGGAGCCGCGGGGAGCTGAGTCCGAGGGAATAGAGTACCTGCGGAAAGAGGACCTGCCTGGAAGGCTGATGGTGGTCCCCTGCTGATGGGCGGAGTGGTCTTGGGCTAATTTCCTCGCTTCTTTAGACCAGGAGGACGTAGACTAGAACTAGAGAGCTTTCCGCATTTTCCCAAAGTGGGTTACACGGCAACCGTCGACTACCTGGGTGGTGCCCGAACTCCATAGGCAGAGACAGCCCCGGGGATGAGCACGTCCATGGATTTATAGGGAATTCTTAGTGGCAATACTGTTTTTCTTTTGCGGAAGGAGTGGCATAATTGTTGGCCTCCAGATTGGTCTGAGGGAAATTGTTTATGGGAGAGGTTTGGGGGGTGTAAATGCCAGAAACTCCTATTCCGCAAGGCAGCTTTCCTCCACTACTCATGTCTTCCAGCCCCATCCGAGACTGTGTCAGGGTCCCATTATACACCCTTTACTACACACCTAGTAGATTTCCTCCCAGCACTCTTCATGTTTGAAATGACATTTTTGAGTGATTATTTAATGGATTTCTGTCCACCTCGCTAGACTAAGCTCTATGAAAGCAGGGGTCTGTACTTTTTTATTCACTGCTATCCCTAAGCTAACTGTAAGATTTTGTGGGTCCTCAATAAATTAATGATGTTGAAGGAAAAAAGTAATGCGGGCCCCAACCACATAGAGTCCTCTCATGAAGAACAGGGACCAGTGAGTTTGCCCTTTGAAGAAGGACTGCATTGTGGAGGTTTAGGGAAAAGGATGACTGAGGAGCAGCCATTACCTTGTAATTATTAGTCAATTACTTTTAGCATAATCCTCCTGAAGGAGATCGTTTAAGAAAGGCTTGTGCGTATGTGTGGAGCAGTAGTTCCCAAAGCGTGGTCTTCAGACCAGCAGCAGCACCAGCATCACCTGGGAAGTCGTTAAATGTACAGATGCTTGGGCGCATCACAGACCCACCCATTCTGAGATTCTGTTCAGTAGTTGAGTTTCCATAAATCCTCAGGCTATTCTGATGGAGGCTCAAGGTTGACAGTCACTGCACTGGTGAAGCGCAATCCTAAAGATGCTTTGGGGATGTTACGCAGTGTCTGGGGGCAGAAAACCGGTGGCTCCTTGGTATTCTTTCTTATCAGGATCTTGCTTGTCTGTTTGAGTTTTAGTTAATATTCCTGGAGGGGAAAGGGAGATTATGCTTTGCCTGTCTTGCAGGTGTGTTCCTCCGTTGAGGTGATCTTGCTGTGATCTTCACATGGAGAAATGGTATGTGTGCTCACGCGCCATATGCCTGGGTTTCTAGATAAGGAGGCAGAAGGAAGGAGAAGGTCTCGCCCACAAAGTTGCAGCTGGATGGGCGTGGGCCGCTCTCATCTGAGGACATTTTCCTGTTATAAGGGAATGCAGACGTGTGGGAGAAAAGACTAGCCAGGGATAAGGTTACCCAGCTGCCTTTTGGTGCAGACAGACACCGAGCCGCAAGGAGGGGATGCAGGGCTACATCGCGCTGGGGCTCGACGTTCTGGCCCGCGTTGTCTCCCTGCCATCTTCCCGGATGGTTAGGGGACTGTGAGTTCGAGAAGCCCCGAAGCCTCTGCCTGCAGGGGTCGCACGAGGCGCGCGGCCCGCCCCCTCCCTCGGCCCCCGCCCCCGGCCCCGCCTTTCTCGGGATCGGCCCCCGCCCGGTCAGGCCCCTCCAGCCTCTCCGCGCAGCCGCCGCCAAAGCCCGGAGAAGGGGAATCTCGCCGGCGCCGCTCCCTGCGCGGGACTGGCGGGGCGGCACTGGGCATGCTCAGTCGCCGGAGCCCGTCCTGGTCTCAAGTAGGAAGCTCGTGCGCTGCTCCCGCAGCTGATCCTGGCGCTCCCGGCAGGGCGAGACTGGAGCAGAGCTGCCGGGCGCCGGAGCCGAGGCGAGCGCCGCGCACTGCCGGTGAGCCCCGCTTTCTTGCTTGCTTTTGCTCTGGATCCCGGGGCGGCCCGGGAGTGCTGGGGAGAGAGCCGATCCGCAGCAGCGGCGTGGGGCGAGTGGCGGCGCGGAGCCCGGGCGGCTGCTCCTCTTCTCGCGGCCCCGAGGGCAGCGCGGCCACTGCCCCTCGCCCAGCCGCAGCCACAGCTGCAGCAGCTGCCACAGCATCTGCAGCGGGCGTCTGCTGCGGAGCCTCGCGTGCCCCGCTCCCGCGCCGCAGGGCCGGGCGGCGCGGCGACTGCGGGCTCACTCCTTGACTCCATCCCTTTGGCTTCTCGGCGCCCTCCTTCCCTCGGCAGCCGGGGCTTGGCAGGGCCTGAGGCGGGGGAGACGGGGTGAGAGGGGGTGCGCTGGGGGTGCTGCGGCGGGGAAAAAGCGAGGGTGGGCGCCGGCGGGGAAGAGCGCACACCCCCTTGCCCTGGCACCGGCCTCCGCTGTGCGGCTGGGCTCTCCCTCCACCGGCGGCAGCGCGCTCCTGCCGGGGACTTGAAGACTGGGCTGGATTCTAGGGGGTTCAGAGCCTAGCCGCTGGGAGATCAAAGGGGGAAAAGTTCATTTCCCTCTCGGAGGCAGGGAGCGTTTTAACTAGAAAATGGCTGTGCGAAGGGGACCGAATCAGGGAAGCTGATCCTGAAATCCACTCTGCTGCCCGCCGGACAGAATGGAGGGTTGGACGCTAGAAATGACATTTGTGTGTTGAAAACATTGCTGGACGGCGGAGGGATGGAGGAGTGCCGTAGAAACAATCAAAGGTGATCTTGACATCGGCGAAGAGGGCTAGAACTGAGGGGTCAGGGGGTAAGGGCCGAAGGAGCGCAGGACCTGAATTTTAAAAAAAAAAACAAAACACCATTGAAGAAATCAGAGTTGTGGCCGTTTTGTAGTCGAGTTCAGGGCAGTTTAGAGCCATGACCGTCCCAGACTGTCTTGGATGGATTGAGTGGTCGGGGAGGGCCAAACTCTGAGAGGAGAATAAGGTCAGTGTCAGAAGCTCCGACAAGACTGGGCTCGGCTGTGATTAGAAGTCCCTCCGTCACTGGCTTTACATTGTGCTTGACGACTTAGGCAAAATACTCAAAGGATTCTCTTAAAATGATGCCAGCAGTCGTGTCTGAATTCCAAGAAATGGGGAAACTTTGTGAGGCTGGCATTGGTTTGTCCTTTGTTTTAATATTTCACTGATTTAAAAAGCAGACAGTGGCATCCTGATCTGTTGTTCTGGATTTGGGTCTCTTGAGTCTTTGGTTTATTTTTCTTGTCATGCATTTATATTTCACATCTTGTCCTCAAATGGCCGTGATCATTAAGAGGGTCTGCATTTGGGTAGCTGAGCGTTCAGGAAGGGGGTTTCTTTAGGAACCCACATTGTGGTGTTTTCGGTTTGTAGCTTGGAGGCAATATTTGTTGAGCAGTTGTTTATGGTAACTTGCAGAGTCCTAGAAATGGCAATTTTGAAAGGGTGACATTTGTTAAGAGGATGAGGAACCTCGGGGTGGGTTGGTTTTGGAATGCTGAGAGAACACAGGTGGTGGTAGAGTACAGTGGGCTGGCAGTCAGAGCACCTGGGGATAACAGATGCAGATCTCAAAAGCTGTGCTTTGGTCCTTGGCTAATTTTATGACCTGGAAAAATCGCTCAGAGACTCCATAGGCTGGAGTTGGTCTAGATATTTGCTCAGAGCCTTTGAGAAGGAATTCTAAAGTTAAGATCCTTTTCCAGGGAACTGGAAAGGAAAGAAATGTTTCTTTCATTGTCTCTTCAAAAGGATGTTAATACTTTTAACTAAGTAATTCACCTGCATGGAGCCAGCACAGTCCCATTTTCTGAAACTTTTATAAAGTGCTAGTGGAAAAACGCACGAGCTGAAGTTTAAAAGACTGACTTCTTACAGTTAACTGGAGTAATAAGAATCCTGACTACAAAATCATTTAGGAAAAGTCTGCTAAATAGTGGAAGAATCCACGTGTACAAAGATAAAATATTTTAAATCTGTTACTCTTTTTATGTCATGTTTCAAAGTTTGATGACTGTGTTTTTTTCCTGCCACCAGAGAAACAACAAAAATCATTTTTTTTTCTTTTCTGTTACAGCAGGAATACAGGAAGGCTTGCCATTGTGTTGGAACAGTATTATGTTGACTATCCTGATTTCAGGATATCTAAATTTGTGTCTTAAAAGAAATGGGATGTTGTCTCTATACCTTCTTCAGTTTTAAAACATTCAGTGCCCTGTTGTAGTATAACCCCTTACATTTTTCATGGGCACAGGACAGACTTTTAGAAAAGTTTCGTAAGAATATTGTAAGATACTACTGCTTATGAGGGTGATGCTTATTTTCCTCCCCCAAGTTAAGGAAAGTAGCATTTGTTCATTACTTACTATGTGTCAAGTCTGATATTCAGACTCTTACACATCTTATATGTTGTTATCTCTGACATTTATGTCAGTGTCCCAAGAAAATCCCTCTGAGGAGGTGGACAGTTCATTGCTTGTAAAGCAGTAGAACTTCCGAGTTTTATTTTATATGAGACTATGTTTAACTGCTTTCATTATTCAATAAGCATTCTCTTGTAAAACATATTTGATTTGTTATTTGGAATTAGATTTGATTGGAACAGCATGTCTTCAGAATGATTTGAATGTTTTTAAGAAGCTTCTATTCAGATTTAAAAACTTTTTTTTATGTTCATTTATTTTCAACATTGTTGTACTACTAACAAATGAATGTAAGGAAGATAAGCCCAGATTACCCATTTTAATTTTGTTTGTTATTAGCGCATATTCTGGGGCTTTCCGGGTAGCTTAGCTAGTAAAGAATTGTCCTGCAATGCAGGAGACCCCGGTTCGATTCCTGGGTGGGGAAGTTCCCCTGGAGAAGGGATAGGCTACCCGCTTCAGTATTCTTGGGCTTCCCTGGTAGCTCAGGTGGTAAAGAATCTGCCTGCAATGCAGGAGACCTGGGTTTGATCCCTGGGTTGGGAAGATCCCATGGAGGAGGGCATGGCAACCCACTCC